CGAATATAGAGAGAGGGGTCCTTTTGGCTCGCTGGCTGCTTAAGTGGGCGTATGCGCAATTTCTGAGCCATATGAACCTCGAGGCGCCGCCACTTCAGCCATAATTTTAGCATATTAATGATTTATGACGTCCTAGGGTGGGAGTGAACGAATTAACAGCAACAAAAGCAGCGAGCATGGCCCTAAAGTTGCTGTCTATTTTCATTTAGAATTCGCTTAATTTTCATTCGCTCCCCTAATGAAAATGTCCGACAACAGTCTGCGCGGAAAAGTGAAATTTTGTACCCGGAATCTCTGGGCCACTTTCAATTTTAATTAAGAGTTGAAAAAAAAGAAGAGCCTTTAACTCGGTCCATCTAGGGCTCTCTTTCATTCGGTTTGGTTCTGCCCGGCTGGTTGCTTACTTTTTGGACGATTTATGGGCATACAACAAATTTGTTAAGCTAATGATGCCATTTTTCCTGCCCAAATTACCTGACCAGGCCCACGGGGCGGATGATCCAAAATCCCATCCCTGCCAGAAACACACAAATAAAATCAGCACAAACTGGAAGAAGGTCAATGCCTAAAGTCATGTGTGGATTTTATATGGATAAATTGCCTAGAGATGCTCTTAACTGATTTTGGAACTAGTTCAATTAAATGAGGAAATTATTAAAAAAACTAAAATAATAATTAGTTAATCTTTTTTTAAGTATTTTAATGTATTCGATTTTATCGGACTAAGGTACACAATAAAAGTTCCACTCAAATACCACTATTGCCTTTCAAATATCTTTAATTTCCTAGCTAGTTCTTCTTGGGGAACTTCATCTTCCATCTCCATCGTCAACTATTGAGACTATAGGCCAACGTTTGTCCAGCAAGTTGTGCCAAGTCAGCAGAAATATTTGCTCTGGCTTACCGACAAATAAGTACCTGCCATAAAGGCAGAAGATACTTAACCTGAGCCGTTCTTTAACCACCATTTCCAGCAAATGGCAAACAAGCAAAAGGCCGAGATTGGCTAGTAAAGCTGGACGTTGATGGCCAAAAGAGCATGGTCGAATTTCCATTTAATTAGCGGCCACGTTTGTCAGGGCAAATCAGGGCGAATTCCAGGTCAGCAACACCAGCGGCAGAAGTGCAATGAAAGCAAACCAAAGTATATTAAGCAGACCAAAGCCAAAATGGCAACGTAGCGCTCCGATTTAATGCCAATAAACCGCGTGAGCCATTGTAGCATCCTACAACAGACAGACAACCCTTGTTCCCTTGCAACCGAGTTAACCAGCCAGAACCAGAAACGGAATCCGGTCCCAACTCAAAACCCCAAACCAAATGGGGTGCTCCGAACCGGGGGACTCCGAACAATGCTCAATGGGGGGAAACGGATGACTGAGGGCTGTGGAGGAAAAGAGTAATCTACCAACTGAATGTGCAACATGCCAATGCACATGATGTGTTTAATGGTTAAATTGTTGCTAATTCCATTAGCCGTTTGCTGGCCTGCATTTAGTCCACCACTTCGTGCGGGTGCACAAGGAAAAAATGTTTTAGTATCCTTAAGGATTTTGTTAATTAATAAAAAATATTTATAAATAGAAATAACATGGAAAATAAATAAAATTAAAACCAGGTATAAAATCAAAGTCTTTCTTAAAGCAACTAAAAACCAAGTGGAAACATAATAGAGCATTACATTCAACTTAGCTATTTTAATAGTAAAATATGAATCAGTTTTATACAAAAATTCAAATCACTTTTCTTAGTTTATTTCAAAATATATATATAACTATTTATTATAATAAAAATACAAGAATGATATAAAATGTTTAGGAGAAGAAAAGTATTTGTACTATGATTTATTGAGTAATCTAAAAATAAAAAAATGTTTTACAAATATTTTTACAATTGCCTTAAGCTTATTTCTCATTTTTAAGTACATGACTTTCTCCCAGTGTGCATTTGTGTGTGTGTAAGGTCCTGTGGGTGTCCGTGTCTATGTGTTTGTTGCTGTATTTGTGGCCAAAGTGTTGCAATGCCGCCAGCTCCACCGAGACAAACAGAAGACCAGGCCAGAATCCGAAAGGCGCCCCGCTGGCAAATGGAACGTGCACAAATTAATGTTACGTTGACGCAATGTTGGCAGGGCTCGAGTACCGTGACCCCTAACCTCCTACCCCTTTCCCCCTCCCCGCCCACTCAAATTTGGCACATTGTTTGCCAGGCTGTGCAGATTTGTCAAACGTGTTGAGGGGGGGAAAGGCGGAGATGTTTGAGCACGGGAGCTGATTGGAAATGCCATAGATTTAGGGCCACTCACAAACGTCCATGGGCAATACTTTGAAGTGCCCAGCATTTACGGCCGGAAGAAATTAGCCAGCTCAAATTTACATTGGTTTTATGGGAGGGATTTATTACCAACTACAGTTCTTAATGGCATTTTTAAAGCCTCTCTTTATATTGTTTCTTCCATCAATTTAATTCTCAAGCTCTAATACATTTTGAACACATATTGAAGCTTTACCCAAAATGGCCGAGAGTTTGTTGTTAAAAAATAAATGTTTACAAAATTTAATTTTGGTATTTATGTATTTTACTTTTGTCACAGTAATTATAATGACTTATCAGATTAATGTAATCTATTTCATTAGGGCAACCAATTTGTGAAAATAAAACAGGAAAGCTTCATTTAAATTATTTGTATTTAAATTAGTCTTCTTCAAAATTGTTAAACATTGCCACTAATGCCCAAAAGCCAACCTCTTTTCCACTTGTAAAATCCTTTTTATGGATTTAAAACTTCTGCATCAAAGATTTTGGCGCCCAAGACCCGAAAATATAAGCTAACCCGAGTCAAATGATTTAACCCAGAAAAAAACCCCTAAAACGTTGGAGCCCCATTAAATTTGTTTAGTATGTGCAGTAAAGTGAACGCGACAGGGCATCAAGCCGCACAAATGGTTATGGGAACCCGAGTTGGAGGATTCCCCGTCCTCAGGACTTCAGGACTTCAGGACTACACCGGCTTCATTCAGTTAACGCGTCGCAGTGGCGTAGTTGGCACTTTTCTATTTATTTGCCCATTAACGCTCATTTGCGGTTATCAGGTAAATTGGATAAAAGCCAACGTAGCATGAAGGCTGTGCCTGTGCCTGTGCGCCTCCCACTGTGGAAAATCCTGTTGAAAGTCCTGTTTTTCCCAACCGCCCACATTGCTCACTCCCATTTTTTGCTGCCTGGCTCTGCTTATCTTCGAGTGTTGTTGCAACATGAAATGAAGGCTTTGCCTTTGACTTTGCCTCTGACCACACTGGGGAAAAATAAAAAATGATGTAATGAGCTTATGAAATTCTGTTGAAAAGATCTGGAAACACCTACAAAAAATAATGGAACGGGCTTATAGATAAATCCAATTAAAAAGGAAACAGTATGGTTAAAGGGACTAAGCTACGTTTTAAAAAGTGCGAATAAGAGCATACGAACAGTATTAAATTTATTGCCTTTAATGTCTAGCACTGCTTTAATGTCTGATTCAATTTTTCAATTTTTAATTTAATTATTTAGTGTGAATTGATATCTTTTATAAGAAATTTGTTTTCTTTATTAATACCTGTTTAATGTAGAGCTATTATTATTTTGTATATTATTATTATGTTGTTGCCTATAATTAAGAATAACCAAATGTCTTACTTAATTAACTATTTTCCTAATTTTAGCAAGGGAAGTGACCAAGATTTTTCTTAGTGTCCTTAAAGGAAATGAAAATCTTCCTCCAAGTGTCCTCCAAATTCCTTGCCACCCGATTTTATTTCGCATTCGCGTTAACTGCGCCAGTCATTAACTGTTTACGACTGTTTGATTCTGCCAATCCACACACAAATATATCAAAATTCAAATTGAATTCAAATATTTGCGGTGACAGGGAGTAAACGTTAATCTTCGCATAAAATCCGCAATTTGCTTAGACTGATACATAAAACGTACTGTGCAGAATTCTGGGGGCCACATAAAATTTCATATTTCCTTTGTGGCAAATATATCCCTTCGACAGAGCGAATTTAAATGCGCCATATTGCAAGCTCAAATGAAATTTTGTGGCTTGTTGCAAAACAAAAAGCTGTGCAAAAAAAAAATGTAAATAAGAGCAAGAAAAAAATTGGAAACCTACATCACAATACTCATGCACACGCGGTGGCATTGTGGCTGGGGATCGTCCTGTGTCCTGTGTCCTTCGTCCTTCAACGCCGTCCACTGCATGCGGTCGCTCAATATGAAAGTGCATAGAGTAAAGGCTCAGTTATGCACTCAGAGAAAATATTGAGACAAACCAGTATATATATGCAAATAAAAAAATACACAAATTTGAAAGTTTTTCTATGGAATGTTATATTGCAAATTTAAATAAATTTCTTAATTAAAATTAATTGTGTATATTAAGTAGATTTTGGTTTTCCCATTTTGAGCACAATGCTTAGAAAGCAGATATCTAGGTACCAAATAAATTATTTATGTCTTATTATTTTAGCAAAAATTTATAATTTAAAGAAAATAACAAATTTTTATTTAAATGTAAAAAACTATGTTCTAAATTTTAAGATGACAATAGTACTTAGAATTAATACAGGTACAAAAATCAGCTTTAAAATTTAAACATTTGAACTTTTCAAAAATTTTCAACTAAATTTTAAAAAACTATAAATGATGTCAAATTTTTTTTGTATATTTTTGAATGAGCCTGACTCGAGCTGAATAGGAGGAACCAAGGGGGATGAAAGGGGAGTGTCAGTTGGTCTGCGGTCGGTTTGCGCTAAATTAAATTTCGCCGCGGTTGCCCCCAAAAGTCCAACACACTTGCACTTCTAAAACACACACACACACTTGCACACTCGCATACAAATTACTATTGCGCCAAAAATATAAAAAGCGAAAAACCCAACAGCAATCCTTATACAAAAGCAACATCTGCTCGCCGAACTTATGCAACACAGTCAAAAAAAATAAAATACAGAACAGAATTACAAAAATAAACGTTTCGTTTTATTTCCGCAATTTTGTATATTTCAGTTCGACATCGCCATTGAGGAAAATTCCCAGGCCGGTGTCTGCGCCCAAAGGCACCTTTTTTGTCTGTTCCACCACATAATTCGAAAGGATGTGCAGGATGGCAGTTTTAACACTCAGTTGACCCACACGCATACCTAGTAATAGAGGGTTAAATATAATTAAAATCAGTTGAATAGGTACGAAATAAAGTGAAACTAAAGAAATACATTTCTAGATTTCTTTAAAAAAAAAAACGTTTTGGTTTAATAAAAACACGAACATTTGAAAGGCATTTCTACTAGTCTGTAACAATATATAATAATTAGATTTAGTCAAGTTTTTAGACTCACCCAAGCAAATCCGAGGACCATCTCCGAAGGGCAGGAAAATTCCACGTTTGTTGAAATCACTAGCCGCTCCATTCTCAAGCCGTTCCGGCCTGAATTCACTGGCCTCCGGATAGAAGGCGTCATCATGGTGGTACTGAAAGGCGGGAATCATCACTGTTACACCTGGCTCCAAATCCAGTGTTTTCTCATTGCCCATATCAATTTGAGTTGGCTTGGTGCAGATCCGCATAAAGAAACCAATGGGCGTGGTCAGTCGAAGAGATTCTATAAAAGAAAATAATTTTTTTGGAATTAAAACAAATTTAAAAAAAAAATGTAAAACTAATAATTGGTGACTTTCAAACGAGATTTAAAATCGTAATGTTAAATGTTAACTATGCACTGTATTAGAAAATTAGCTGCTTATTTATAAGTTCAAAAATAAACTATATACTTTTTATTAGAATGCTTAAAGTTTAATAAAGTACGGTCTTAAATATGATCATACAAACTTGAACAAATTATTGGCGCAGCACAGAATAAGTAATTATTTGAATTGTTTTAGGTCATACAAAAGACTATATTATTTTTAAATTTTTGATCTGCATAGATCACAGAAAAGTATAATTATTGGCGCAGTTTTATTTGAATTGCTACAGATAATAGTTAGTTTAGTTTTTAATATTTGGGTTAATATTTTGTTTTTTGCAGGTCTCTAGACCTCTGGGCACTCACCATTGACGCATTGATCCAGATAGGGCAGAGCATTGAGCTGTTCGTAGCTGATATTGTCGTCGGAGGCCAGGGCATCTAGTATTTCGGAGCGCAACTTTTCCTGCTCTTGGCGGTGTTCGCTGAGCTGATAAGATAAAGCACGTTTATTGCCATTATTAGTAAACATAATTGTGAAATTGACTTACCGAATAGAGCATGTGGTAGAGAACTGCTCCGGAGGTTTCGTAACCATCCAAGTGGACGGTGAGGGCATGTCCCACGGAATCGTTAATGGAGTTTCCACGCTGCTGCAGTTGAATCAGATGGGATAGGTAGTCCGTGCGACCCTCTCCACTGCCCCCCATCCGGAGCTTCACTGCATCCTGGGTTAAACGCAGGAAAAACTCCTCCGATGCCTTGGTGAAAAACCGCATCTTGAATAGTTTTCGCAGAAATGTGGCCACAAGGCTCTTATTAAACCGAATCATCGAGCTGAAGGCATACACAGTCCAATCCGTGGATATCTTCTGAAAGGCCCCAATCTCTCCAACATTGCCGCTAAGGGAACCCGCCTCAATGCCCCAAATAAAGTCCGCCATTATGTGGGCCGTAAAACGATAGGCCAGCTAAAAAATAAAAACGAAAAGTATTAAGAGGGTATTAAAATTGAATTCGAAACTTCTTTACAACCCTTTTAGGTATATGTTCTTCATCAGCAAACTAGTCTCTCACTTTTAAAGCTGTATATCCTTTTTCTTCCATAACAGGTATTGTAATCATATAGTTTATATATAGTTTATATACTCCTATTGCTGGTAGTATATAAATCATATAGAAAATACGTAACAAACAATTAGAAAAATAAGTTTTAAAAATTATTACTTCGTGGTTTAATGATTCAAAATATACTTAAAGATTTAATACAAGTTTAATTTATTTTAATTACGCTTTTAGTTAGAATTGGAAGTATCATATAGCTGCCAAAAGAATCTTTATTTCTAAGGATTTACGCATGAAAATAAAAATAACTTCTTTTAGAAAATACTCAATTTTTAAAAAACCTGCATGGGAAAATTAACTTTGATAGCGGAGATTCCGGATATTTTCTTTTTCATACTCACATCTCTGGTCTCGATGACATCACCCTGCTCCCGTCTTGCCTTTTCCATATATTCGACCAGCTTTTGACCACTCTTCTCCCAAATGGCGAAGGCCTGCTTCAGCCGACTGGGCGTGAGTCCGCCCACATTCTCCGTCCGCCTTCGCTTCCATTCCTCGCCAGCACTGAAAAAGGGTGACTTTTGCACGTACTTCTCCTCCGGATTGTGGCCCGCAAAACTGCTGGTTATGGTGTCCCGAAAGTGGCTGAACTTGTCCACCAGAATCTCATGGGCCAGGGCGGGATCCAAAATCAGAAGTTGCGGCTGTCGAGTGATGAAAGTGCCCACCGCTCTATATTTGTCCTTGTATTTGCTAAATAATATTTAAATAAATTTACAAATCTGCTGTTTTATTTAAAGACACTCACTTGTACACATCCTGAACATCGAGTATGAGACTGCGGCTTTTGTTGACTAGAATTCCGGGGTAAGTACCCAAAATAGTCAATGGTTCGGCGGTGATTGCTCCCCTTTTATCCCAGTATTTGTGGTACCAGGTGAGGTAAAAGTAAATCGCGACAAAGGCAACATGAACGAAAGCCAGGAACAAACCGACTATGGTCATCATAGCTGCTGCCCAACAATTCGATCAGATTCTCACAAAGTACAAAAAGAAACTGCCCAATGGTCTGGCTCAGTAGAGTGTATATTCAGCATATACTTCATTTTAATCTACATTTTTCAATTAGTTCTTAAAATTCGGGGGCATACGATTTTGATAGCATTATCAGCCAGATAATGGTTTGTTGGAGAGGTAAGTTATGTTCTTGGGGCAAAGCAAGCATGTCTCTCTCTGTGTTTTGATTATTTAAGTGCTTCATGACTTTGTTGTGATTAATTGCACTTATTAAATAGATTAATTGAAAACGTCTTATCAACTCTCTAGATTTCTATAAAAAAATGTCTATTAATATAAGCACTGTAAAATTTTGAAAATGTAGTTTTGTTTCTTTATTAAATTTGTTAATAAAAATATCCAACAAAACAACTTTAAACACGATTTTTTTCTGTTTATTTTCACCACATCTTTAGGCTGTCATTATTTAATTATGCAATTTTTATTTTAAGAAAAATGGCAACAAAATGCCTATTTTAATCAAATTAAGCTATATATATATGCTCCTTCTATAAAGAAAATATTAAAAAAAAACAGTTCATCATAAAATCATATACCTTGAATGTATTAATTAATAAACAATTCTATCTTAAAAAGCGGCGATATTCCAGATTAACATTTCCCTGAAGAACAACCCCAAATCCAGCATCTCCACTGGGTATCAAGCGTTCCTTTCCCCTGACCACTTGAAAATCGCTGAGTATGTGAACGAGAGCAGATTTCAAAGTCAGCAGAGCCAATCGTTTGCCTGTAAAAATAATCAGCATTATTTACATGTGAATAAATGGCAAACTAAAATTCATACCCATGCAAATACGCGGACCATCGCTAAATGGAAGAAATATACCCTTTCGCATTAATTCCTGATATGTGCCATTATCAAAACGCTCGGGTTTGAAAACTTCGGGTTCGGGAAAATACATCTTATCGTGATGGAATTGATAGTTGGGTATCATAATGGTCATGCCGTCCTCAACATTCAGTCTCTTGAATTCACTCAGCTGAATAATGGTGGGAAAAGTGCAAACTTTGGTATACTGGGGAATTAAACTGCTCAGTCGGAGGGACTCTAAAATAAAAGAAATGTATATATTATACTATAATTTAATATGAAAATCCTACCATAAACCACTTGCTCCAAATATGGCAGGTTGCAGAGCTTGTCAAAGTCCAGACTTTTGTCGCATTCCAAGTTGGAGAGGATCTCCATGCGCAGCTTTTGCTGAACAGCTGGACACTCCGCCAACTGAAGAGGATTAATGTTATTTTGGAGTTTTGGTACTATACAAAGTAAACCTACATAATAAAGAGCATGGAGCAGAGCTGTGCCGGTGGTATCGTAACCATCCAACATGACGGTCAAGGCATGACCCACCAAATCATCGTGGGTGGCCTGTTTTTGATCACGAAGCTGCAGCAGATGTGAAAGGTAATCTGTGCGAGAGGCATCACCGCCGCCTTTAAGTCGCACCTCAATGGATTCCCTGGTTAAATTTGAGAAAAACTCATCGGTTTCCTTGGGATAGAAGCGGAAACGCAATAGTAAACGACTGCAAGGGGCCACAATGGAGGCCATGAAAATGGAGATCATATAGAAGGCATAACTGGTCCACTTGCTGGCCATTTGCTGCACCTTATTGGGCTGCTCCATGGGTCGAGTAAGGGTTCCGGCATCGATGCCCCAGATAAAATCAGCCATCACATGGGCCGTATACCTAAAACATAGCTGAAAAGGGAAAATTTCCATGTTTATTTATTGAAATATATTCAATTAAACATATAACTTACATCCCTGGTCTCAAGTATATTATTTTGATCTGTAATTTGCTGCGTCATGTAGTCGGTTAGCATCTTGCCACCCTGCTCCCAAATGTTATAGGCCTGTTTCAGGCGATGTCCCGAGATTCCTGCCTGGGCATCTGTGCGAAGGCGCCGCCAGGACTTGCCAGATGCCCAAAAAGGATTCAGGCGGGCGTACTTGTCCCACTTGGCATGTCTGATGTACGAACTGGTCAGCGAGTCCTTGTAGCAGCGGAAGTTCTCGACCAGCACTTCGTGGGCCAGCTCAGGATCGAGAACCAGGATCTGCGGTTGACGGGTCACAAAAACGCCCACAGCACGATGTTTGCCCTTGTATTTGCTGAGAAAATGTAGGATATATTAAGGGCGAAGTCATAAATAAATGCATCAGAATGTTGTATAAATTTCAGGACCATCAAGATAAATTTACGAATTAATGACTATTTTTATATGTACAATTTTTGGTTTTACATTTTGAATTAAAGCGTTTCCTCCTTATTTTAAAGCTAATGCGCCGATTGATTTAATAAAATGTATCGTTTCAATTTAAACAATGTTTTTTTACATCAAAAAAATATTTTTTACTATTAATTGAACAGAATATTCTTTTAATATTAATATACTATAATAAGCCATTGATATTTTATAACAGATTTTAACTGTTAAATAAAAAATCACAGAAACTTGTCTCTTATACAATATACAACTTTACAGTTGTTTGATAGTATTTTAAAAAATCTTTTTAAATGTATTTTATAGTGCACCCTTATAAATACTTAAGTTAATTCCATGATCAACTCACTCGTATATCAGCTGCACATCATGGACTAGGTTGCTCTTCCGGGTGAGCAGGCCGGGATATGTGCCCAGCAGGGTCAAAGGTCGAGCCGTGATCAAGCCACGCTTGCGCCAGTACTTGTGGTGCCAGGTGAGGTACAAGTAGATGGGCAGCAGGAGCAGGTGCAGCAGGATCAGGGCCAGCGATATCAGAATGTACATGTTTCCGCGCTCCGTGCGGCTGCAGCCTCCCTCGGATCGCGTCCAAAACTGATCAAACGGACGGAAGCCCCGGCGCTCCGGCAGCATTGCAATCCGGATGTGACTCGGATCGACAATCTACAGATTAACAAGTTTCCAAACCGATATTTATACACATTTATTTTAAGCTGACTTATCAGCACAGCTTGTTTTTCTTTTGTTTGCAGTACTGTGAGTTCAATAACTTTGTGCCTGGAAATGTTGAATAGATCTGTTAAGACAATCGATTGGAAAAAAAACTTAAGAAAATAATAGCCATAATAACCGTTAACCGGTTAACTAACCGATTTAAAAAAAAAAAAACAGTAATTAATAATTATAATCAAAATGAATTGAACATTTTAAGGCTTTAATCCAACAACACTCGTTGTTGTCAAATATGAAAAACAAAACGTTTAGAAAATTAATAGCCTTTAATGGTCCTAACAAGATTTTAGATCTATACTTAGTTAACTACACCTGTTTACAAATCAGGTCTAATCAGTATTTAGCAGGGGAATAATGAAGAACTGGACGAAGATCTCCTCGTGGCCCTCGCCCTGCATCACCAGATGCAGTTCCAGCAGGCCAATGGAGTTGGTTTTGATGGCCACCTTGGTGGCCGACTGCATGGCCTTGTTGGCCACACGGATCTGCTGGCTCTTGTAGCGAGCGACCACCGTCTGCTTGCAGTTGAACATCATCATCATGGGACTGGTCTTGGCCACCTCCACGCTGAACACCGCCTGCATGATGCCCACGGTGGTGATTTTGAAGTGCGGCCGATCGGGCGAGGTGATGAACTCGAATTCCTCCGCCGACTTCTCCAGTTCATGGAACACCTTGGACAGGTTCGGTCCGCGTACGAAGATTACATTCAGATCCGGCTCTGCCAGGCTCTTGTCATAGTCAATGGGCTCCTCGCTGTCCATCGTTTTAATGGCGCACTCGGTGCTCACATCCTCATCATCGTAGGGGTATAGAATGATTCTCAGCGGGTCGCCCTGATCCCTGTACATCATCCGCAGACTGCAATCGGCGGATCCGAAGAGGTTCAGGCACTCGGACAGCACGTTCATCTTTAGGCCAAAGCTCTGGAAGTCCTGCACATAGAACTCTTTGAAGGCAGCAGGCGGTATAAACAGAGTGGCTTGAATGGACTTGCCCTGTTCCACAGTGATGCGAAGTCCGTCCTCTGACACCTGTAGCATGCCGTACTGCGAAATACATTTAAGTTAGATACCAGTTTCTAGTTGTGATTAAGGAACTTTAGCCTATGCTTACATCATTAAAGCAGATGGACTTGATGGCCTGATTGAAGATCTTGATGTGATCCACCCGAGCCACGAACTTGTAGGTGCCGTAGGGCGAAGCCTCGTCATCGGCCATCCTAGTCCCGGAAGATGTCCCTCTGCAGCTCCTTGAGTTCCTCCTTTTGAAGGATCTGCTCCCAGGTTTTCCAGCCCTTCTGCAGAAATTGGTGGAGTCGCAGGGCCAGGATGTGCTGGCAGGTGAAGGACACTCGGCTCTCCTCGCTCCAATCCTCCAGAATGCCCGCTTGGCCACTGGGAATGTCCTGGTAGAGGATTCCCTTGGGCAACTGCAGCACGTGGCACTGAAAAAAGTCGCACTTGCAGTAGTTTATTTTCGGGAGCAACCGAAAATACTCCAATCCTTTAGAAATTTCCACCACGTAAAGGTGGCGTTTGTTTTTGGAATAATAAAAAATGAAGCTATGGCTTTCCAAAAGCTGAAGGGATCGTAGCACCAGTTGTTCGCCCAGTAAACAGGATAAATCGGAAAACAACTTCCCACGTTCTTCTGAAAAGTCGTAAGGTATTTACTATTGGAATTTCATTTACCAATAAAACTCACCCTTTGTTAGACCACCAGAATCTACTTGACTGCGATATTTCTCAAAGACTTGATCAAGCAGCTGGGGCAGATATTTATTAGTAAGATTTTCCACTTCAAGCGCCATTCAGTACCATCTTTAATGCAAGTTTCATTCACAAATTATAAACAAGGCCGCCAAAAACAAACCGGCTGGGCATCATCAGCTGTTTTTCTTTTAAGGTCTGGCAGCCCTGTGCTGTCGATATATATTTAATGGCCACCCTAAAAGAAACTATCGACCCATTTAAATTTAATAATTTAATTAACCTTTTGTTGTAGCCAAAGTTTATATCTCGCTAGTTAAAACCTTGTATATAAAAATACCTTATTTTTGGCGCCCTTTTTCTATAAACATGTGCTGGATGTTATTAAAAAAACCGTAACATCCTTTCAATTCAAATTGGAGTTGTGTATATAATTGCCAGACTAAAACCCATTTGCCTAAAATTTTAAATGTTTAAGAGCTTGGTTACGTTTTAAATATGTCTCTATAAGAATTATATCAGTCTATAGAAAACCCCCAAAGTGCAAATAAAACCACAAACTTTCTTGGTTCGGATTGGAAAAATCATCTTCGAGATCTTCAAAAGTATTCTACACATAAGTACGATGTAGGATTAAGTGCTAAGTCTATGGGGTTTTTTTTCCATAAATTTGTAAGAGTGCATGTGCTAGCATCTTCCTCATTTTTTGGTGCTAGTCTAGAACTCTAAAACATTAATAAGTAACTCTAGTAATACTATAATCTAGATAATGTTCTCCTTCTCGTGTTTGATGCCACTGCTGCGTCGCTTGACGTTCTGGATCTTCATCATTTTGTTCTCGTCGGCGCACTTGGTGGTGATGGCATTGCGCACCTCCTTTTCGCTGGCATTGCACTTGTGCGTCACCGCAAAGATGATGTCCTGGATCTTCTGCGGATCGAGCATGCGCTTGAGTGGCTTGTCCTGATCCTTAAAGGCGGGCGATGGTTTCCCCGTCATCGAATGGGTGGCCAAGGTTTCCCGATCGAAAATCGAGACGAGGAGCTTCCTGGTGGCCAACGAGGAGACCGACCAGTTGATGTTCTCGAAGACACTGGCCGGCACACAGGTGTTGTTCGGACCAATGGACACCATCACGTTGTCCATTTGCGTTTGCTGGCTGCTCTTGTTGAGATCGTTGAGACTACTGCCATTGCGGATTTTAGCCTGCGATTTGGGGGGCATTTTGATGTTTTGCCGCGGGAGTTCCTCTGGCAATTGAATCTCCTGCAACTTGCGGCGTTTGATGAACTGCAAGGGTGTGCCGGCGGATGCTTCATCGTCCTCCCTTTTGATGCCACTGATCCTGTACTGCTGATGATGGTTCGGCTGCTGCTGCTGCTGATGCTCCTCGCCCAGGCAAATCTCCAGGCGATCGGAGTCCGCTGAGGTGCTCAGGCTGTTGAGACTCTCGGCCGCCAGGCGAATCTCAATGGCATCCGCATCGTCGGGCGCCGTGATGATCTTGTAGTCGAGGATCTGGGGATTCTGCACCGGGGCACAGATCACCGAGCTGGGGGGCGTGAGGATCTGGTGGTGGCTCTGCAGAGTAGGCGGTGTGGGTGGTCCGGTGGATTCCGCCAGCAGGGACGATGCCTGCTGCATTTTGGCGGATGTGGCATGGATTTGGGACAACAGATCCGTGTGTTGCTGCAGTTTGGCCTCCAGGTAACGAACTTTTTCGCGTAGAGCACGATTTTCGGCCTCTATTTGGGGATCCGGAGAGCTGATGCTGCGGAGCATCTCGAAATCTTCGCTGCAAGTCTGCGACCAGGCATTTAGATATAATGGCTTGATCCTTTGGTTTGGGAATTCCTCGCGAGGATTTGCTTTGACTATGCGCTGATATTGCTGTAAATTTGGAAGGCGAACTGTTAAGCAATGTGTTTTGGTTCTCAAATGACCAGCACTACTCACGTTATCCATGTTGAATCCTCAAAGGATCTGCATCAAATGAAAATTGGCGGCAGAATGCGAAAAGCGGTTGCATTCCAGGGGTGGGTTTCCACCGATTCCTGCGCTTCCCTTCCTTTCACTTCCTCCAATTCCCCGGGAAGCAAAAGCAAAACAATGGGAAGCAATGAAGCAATGGTTTCCAATCACACGGACGCTACCTGAACGCACACCACGACAGCCGAACTGCATGCATGTGCAGGGAAGAGAGCGAGTGTGTGCGTGCGCAGCTCTCTCTGGGTTTCCAGGTAGGCGATATCCTGATCCTGTTCGCTTCCAGGTTCCAAGGAGAAGGAGAGAGCGCCTGTCTGTTTCCCAACTAGTCCAGCTGTCCTTTTACTTATTCCAACTTTTTGCCTGGGTTTTGCGCGGGAACCAGAGTTGTTGATGTCTGCACAACTTCACGGCCAGGGTTGTCAAATGGTGTCAAAACTATCGAATTCCCTACTATCGGTTATCAATTACGATGTTTTTCAAGTCCTTTATTCCGAATTTATTCCATTAAATTAAAAAAATAAATAGCGACGCAATATTTGAACTGCCTGTTAAGGACTAGGATGTATTAGAAGCCCTTAATTTTATTATGTCTAAAAAATTGTATATATTTATTTTGTAACTCCAGAAATTCTTATAAACAATTAGGAGATATTTTTATTAAATTGTTTTATACGGTTTATGTTGTTTATTTATATTGTTTCGCTAAAAAGAACACATTATTTTCTATGATTACATATTAATAGTCATAGTTTTATACAAAAAAAAACTTAAAATAGAAAAAACTTTACTTTACTCAAAACATGTCACACTAAATTTAATTTAGTAAATTCTTTTGTTCTATGGTTACTAAAGTTTCGTAAAGATCTAAGATGAACCAAACTGCGTGTAATAAAAGAACGTCTTAACATTCTTTCTTAATACCAAGAACCCAAAAGAACAATAGTTGGGTTTTGTAAATAACCGGTTTTCAAAACTGAGGCCCGATGTAATCCAGTCACATTTATATGTATTGGGAACACTTCCAATACAGAAGATTCTTTTGGAATAGAGTCCTTTATTCATGCGCTCTCTGATCGGAAACACACCCCTAAAACTCCGAATTAGGGTAAGTCTACTGGAATTTCGTCAGGTAGGTCGACTATTGTTATGCATTTTAAATAAATAATTAATAAAAGGGTTCTAAAAATGAATGTGATAAGAAGTTTTTTTTTTATTATATTATTGAACTCGTATATTATATTTAAATTTAAAAAAAATCATTGAGATGTCTTAATAATAGACACCTGGTAAAGGGCATTGGAAGATACCTATTGTAAAGTTGGTACTTTTAATAGTAAGTTTAAAAAACATATTTTTAAGATATTATACTCACTTGTATCGTATGTAAATGGCCTTGGCAACCCTGAAAGATATTTATCTTCAGGTAGGATTGCCATCTGGCGCAAGGAATAATAACCGTTAATCCGTTGCCATAAAAACACGATTTCCAAGCGGAGATTTACCGAAAGAAATATTCGCAAAAATAACCAAAGGAAACTCGACGGCAGCTGCACATTTAGTTTGGCCAGCTATAAACCTTTTTCCTTTTACCTGTTGCCAAAAATCCGCGATAAAAATGGCCGCTGGATTTCGTCCGTACGATCAGGAGGATTCCCTCTCGCCCTCTAACCTTACAAATAGCCAGGCTCCGGGAATTAGCATGTCAGTCGTCCGGCGAGCAGAGCCGCATTTACAGTACCAGTACTTCCATCCGCAGACAGCGATCCTGCCCACAGTCCAGTACTCGCATCCGTATCATCAGTATCTGAGCCAATTTGCCCCGAATTTTGTGCCCTACTACTACCGCCTGCTCTCGCGTCCCATCATGAAGCAGGAGGAGATGGACATCGAGAACTACATTAACTATGAGGTGGCCTCCCAGCAGACCATTATGCGCCAGCGGACCCTGAAGCCCCTGGGTCAGCTGCAGATCCAAATGCCGCCCCCCATAAAAATGGACCAAGCGCCAGTCAAGATTCCCATTCCCGTAAAGCCAGTGCCAGTGCGGCGAAGTTCACCACCCAAACGAAGGATTATCAATGCCACACTGGTGGCCATGGCCACCGCTTCCGGGGGAATCAGTAATGTAGAGCCCCGGCTGGAACCCCTGCCTCCCGTGGCGGAATCCTTCAAGCAACAGGTGGCCAAGATCCAGAAGAGCCAGCACCACTACGAGCAGCTCTTCGGCCGACTAACCACCATGCTGAAGACCCTCAATCAGAGGTATAACGATGCCGATGAAGTGCCATCACCGCCCCTAAAGAGACCCAGGTACGTCTCCACCAGCTCCGCGGAATCGCATCTCCAAGATGCAGGCTCCGAAAAGGACACTTCTGCTACATTTCCCCAGCGAGTGGAGAAGCCGGATGGCAGTGCCACCTATGTCCTAGGACCAAATGGCACCACGATCTCGGCCCAGCAGTACACCGACGTCTTCTGGACCAATGCGCCAACGGCCACGAGAAGTCTCCTCTGCATGGTCTTCACCAGCGATGAGCTGGCCACCCACACGCTGACGGGAAAACCCTCACCCGCCTTCTACGGCCGGGAACGACCTCCGAAGCTTCAGTTGGACCCGCGCAAAGTGGACGACATTGTGGTCTGCGTGAGGGAAAGGACGGGAGGCAAGGAGCGCGTGATCCGGGCCACCATCACCACCAAGTGCGCCGACACGGCCAAGAAGTACAAGCGACGGGCCAAAAAGGCCCAGAAGGTTACTATTAATGAAGTATTTTAGGGCGGTCAAGGGGGGTAACGATTGGCTAGATATAATCCAGCTATGATTAAATCGAACCACTTCTCAAGGGATCTCAAACGACGCGCCAAAAAGGCGCAGAAAGCATTTGTAAATATCAACTATAGATCCTGCTATAAGCTAACCACTTGTAATATAATCTAGCTGTGATGGAATAAACAAAGAAAGGCAAAATACGGAGCACTATGACTAAACAATTAATGTAGGTTAGAAATTGAACCATATATTTGTTATGGTTGATGAGTTTCATTTAAAAACAAGAAAGGAATGTAGGTATGTATATTGAAAACTATTTATAAAAAGGGATCAATATTCCAGATCTTAACGATTAGATCTTAATTGGAAATAATATGATAGGCTATGTGCTATCATGTTTTCAGATGCTTTGAGGTGATTGGTATTTGATTTAACTTTTGCCAGTGTCGAAAACGATATTCAAGTGTCAAGTTAACGAAATTGGATTTATTAACACATTTGAGTGCTCTCTTCAATCGCAGCCAACTGAACTTGAATTTTAAAATTAATTATCAGCTATCCACACATTCTATTGCTTCTTTGCCTTGGGATCCCAAGCCTCCACTTTGTTGGGTGTTGTGCTGTATGGATAGTAAGCCTCTGTAAAAGGAGATATTTATAGCTTGGTGATTTAAAAGATACTTTATGATATGGGATTACCCTTAGTTCCGGAAAGATTCTCGCTGTGGTCCGCGATCCATTTGTGTTTGGGACGGCAACCATCGCGAATGGGAGGCAGATCGGTCTACAAGAAAATACATGAATTAGTAAATATATAGACTTTAAAATTATAAATATGTATTCTATATAATATTTAAATAAATAAATATGTATCCTATATATTGTGAATTATTTCAATATTCCCTAAGCACGTACTCTCAAGTAGCTGGAAACGTTTATGGATATAGATTCTATATTATAAGTCTTAGTTGCAGGATATTTCTCAAAGTTTCGTCAATTTATAACCCAGAGATATTTAAGATAATGTCCTATGTACCCACCTTATAGTGCATCCAGCCGTACCATTCAGCGGGAATCATGGATCCATCGTAGTCCATGTTGACATGGGGGGCAAACTCGATCCAGCGATTGCGGCCGTAAAAGTAGTACGGATTCTCGAAGTACTTGTTGCCGTACTTGTCGATTCCCACCAATGTGCCGATCTTCAGGTCATCGTTCCTGCAAAATATGCGTTTTTTGAGGATTGGAGCAATCTTATATAAGATCGGGACTCACCTATATAACTTTAGGTAGGCATTCTTCAGACCCCCGGCTTCCCGGACGATCTGGAACAGCTTGGTGAGCCGGTTGATGCCCAGAAACTTTGCCATGCTGTCTGGAAAGTTCGAAAATAATTAAAAATAAAGATTTCGATTTTCTTAAACTAAACTCACTCGAAACAAAAACAAAGTCAATATGCAGTGTGACCACAGGTGACAAAACACCCACGGGTAAATACTAAAAGCACCAAGTACCAAAAAATACTGCTTTGCAGAATATAAACAATTGTGAGGGTCGAATCGACACCCTATTATAATATAAACAATTAAATTAAGATTACAAGAAACATTTTAGATTCAAGCAAAGGACTTCGGAATTTGTTGTTCAAATAATAGTTATTATATCACTTAATTTATTTTCATCCATTGTTTGTTTTTGCTCAGATTGTTGACTTTAGTTAAAGTTTACTTTCAGTTTTGTTTAGGATTTTTTATGTGTTCCGTTAAATTTATTTAAATAAAAAAGAAAATTGCCTGTATACATTCGGTATTTTTTAATTTAATACTGCTGCTGGTATTTTGCGTAGTCTGGCCACACTGCCACACATCTGTTTGCCGGAATCGGCTTTGTGATTCATATTTTTGGGAAGAAAAGTGCCAGGAAACGAGCGAAATCATGGCCAAAAACACGTCCAGCAATGCGTTCCGCAAGATCGATGTGGACCAGTACAACGAGGACAACTTCCGGGAGGACGACGGCGTGGAGAGCGCGGCAGCGGGTCCGGACGAGAGCGAGATAACGACGCTGCTGACGCAGGGTAAATCCGTGGAGGCGCTCCTCAGTGCCCTGCAAAATGCCCCACTGCGCTGCAAGAACCAGAACGTCAAGGTGGGTGTGTAGTGCCCCTGCCTCCCTCGTGCCAGCTAATCCTCGCGAGATTTTGCAGGACCACGCCCTGAACATCACACTGCGGGTGCTGCTGTCCATCAAGTCGACGCAGATGGACCAGGCCATCGATACCGTGGACCAGAACGATCTGATCGACGTGCTGATGAAGTACATCTACCGGGGCTTCGAAATCCCCTCGGAGGGCTCCAGTGGCCACCTGCTGCAGTGGCACGAAAAGGCCTTCGCCAAGGGCGGAGTGGGTTGCATTGTACGGGTCCTGTCGGACACAAATCGCGCCTAGAGGGGATTACCACAACCAAAGGCGGTCGCAGAGTCACCAACCACCCCGTTACCCCATCCACAATCCCCTATCCCCAATCCCCAATCCCAAACACAACACACAGATTCAAACGCACCGCGGAGCATTTAATCAACGCCGGATTAGAGCGCTGGACACCACATCCAATCCTCATCGCAGGATGCCTGGAGGTTGCCACACCCCAGCTGGAAACCCTCTTCTGTTTCATTGCCGCAATACAAATGACGTTTTCCAAATTAGATTTTAACTGGTATCCAAGTATTAAAGTTTTTATTACAAAAGGTGAGTGGCAGTGATTTCAATTAAAAGGTTTGTCTTCTGATTCACATAAACAAATGCTAGAAATAGCGGAATTTCTAAACAGTTAAATAATTAACATGAAGACTTTGGGGATATAATGTCTTTTTAGAAGTTTAAATTCGTTATTCTTTATTTTATATCCTCTATAAGACTAAATAAATCATGACATAGCTAAACAATTTAACTTTTAAATACTAATCTCACAAAGAACTCAAAGCCAAATAAAAATGGATGGACTTTGGCAATGTAAAATTACTATCCTTCTCAGAGACCAACATTTTAATTAAATTAAGAAGTAGTAAAACTTTTTGATTCTCGGAATTAAACCAAGTAACCAATAATTTTTTGTCCAGAACTATGCGACTTACATATAGTGATTTATCTAATCTAATTTCAAGCTATTACGCTCCACACGGTTACGTTACCCAAATAGCTTTTTAGTAGCATTCTTTGTTTATCACTCCAATGCAAAATGGCACAAAACACACATAAACGTTGTTTGAATCAACCTTTTCTGCTTTTTATTTGACTATTCAATGTGTAATAAGTGCTTTGGATAACCTAATCGAACCAATCACGGCATCTACAACTTCTTATACAATTTAAAAAGCGGCGAGACAAATGCCAGGCGAATCGAAATGCAGGAGTATGCTAAAATGCTAAAATGAAAGGCCCAGAAGTATGGGGTCGCATGCAATTTGATGATAATTCAGTGCCCGGGAAAGGAAACATTTAACAAAGGAGTTCGTTCTTTCGAACGCGTCTTCAATAAATAGTTTTTATGCTGCTTATATGTGGGGATTATTAAGTCGAAAGGGGTTGCTCCAATCGTTGAACAGCGATTACCACATGTGGGTCTCGCGGATCTCGCTGATGATGTGATTCGCCCTCGTCAGTGCCTGAAAAGCGATCAATGATCAACACTTAGCTCTCGGTTAGTTTATATAGTATAGTAGAGTAGCTAACCTTCAACATATCTGCCGCCTCTTTTCGGCGCACTGCAATGTGATCGGACTCGTTGAGCAGTGTTTCAGCCCTGTCCGATTTGTAGAGATGGGTTACCAGTTCGCTCTGCAAGTTGTCCTTAACGTAGTTAACCAAGAAATGCATGATGGCCTTTGGTACCGAGTCTTGTATGGATTTGCGCACAATATAGAAATACGATTTGATCAGGCGTTCTGAAATGCAAACAAAGCAATTAAGTTAACATTGTACTTATTAATATAAATATTATATAAGTCGCACCGATGACATCGCAATCCTTTTGCTCCTTGTCAGTGAGGCGACGTGGATTGTGGTTGACCGGCATGTCGGGCAGCAGATTGACTGGCTTCACCGGGCTCACAATATTATTGTGTACCGGCGTATTGCTGGCCGAGTTTTCAATGCTGTCCGGACGATTGGGTGCCGGTGGTAAAATGTTTGACAGCCAAGTGCTGGCCATCGAAGGCGTCGAGTTCTCGCCCACGTGGTTCTGCAACATAAAACGAAAATAGGTTTCAAAATGCTGTGCATATGTAATGTACGCAATCTGCTGGCACCTGGTCATGTGCTTCACTATATTGCTGTTGCTGTGGCTGCTGTTGGTTATTCTGCTGCAGCTGCTGCTGCTGTTGCTGTTGCGCCGTAACCTGCGGCGACATGTGGTTGCGAGGTGTGTTGCCCCGCCGCTGTCCCAGATTCATCTGCGAGTAGGGATCACTGTCCGACTTCAGCAGACTGGGCACCAGGGCGGCATCCTTGTGGAAATCAGGATGCTTGGTGTTGATGTAGGCCAGCTCGATGGCCACGATGTTCTCCACCATCACATTGGTGTGCGGCAGACGACGGCGCAGCAGCTGCGTGACCACGTCTACGATCTTCTCGTGCAGTTTGGGAAAGCTGTGGGATGGAAAATATGTATTTATTTATAGCTTTTAGTTAGTTATCTTAGGTAAACCAACCGCAGCATCTCCTGCTGCACTTCGTTGCCGCAGTGCTGAACGATGCGCTGCATCTCCTCGTGAATGAGTTCCACGCAACGCAGTGAGGGCTCCTCCAGGCGACGGATCTGACGCTTCACCAGCAGCTCGAACGAGACCTCCGGCACGAAAAGAGCCGGACGTGGACCCGTTGCATTGCGGATGGCCGTGAGTATGTCCATTTTGCTCAGACCCGCCAGCGGGTGAATGGAGTCCAAGGTGCGGCCGAAGGTCTCGTGGAAAATGTAGCAAATCCGGGCGCCACCGCACAGCTCCGTGGTCTCGATGTTCCGAGCAGTGCCCTCGATGGTGGAGCAGTAGGCGCTGGCGAACTTCGTGATGATCTGCAGCAGCGTCTGGCTCTTGTCGGAGACATCCTCGCCGTAGGAGTTCAGCAGCGATTGGAACTGAGTGGCCATGATGTTGACGCGAGTCTATAAAAATAGGCAAAATTAAGCGAATGCTTAAACTCAGTTGTCACAGTACCCTTAACTGCTCTTAATCTTCTCTTGCTTTATCGTAGAAAATATAAAGGTCGTTATAAAATCGGTTGCTCAATCTTTGTGAAATGACAAAGAGCTTATTAAATTTAGCAAATTCATTCTTCTACATTTTGAACAAATATTTCAGGCTTTTATTTTTCAAAACTAAAAGCTTGTTTATTTGAAATTTAAATCTTAAATAGTTTGATATAGTTAAAAAACCTTCTTTTGTTCAAGATTTATATTTAAAAGTGGATTTGATGCATTTATACTAACTACAATGTAATTTAGCTCTGAATTTTGCAAAGCTTTGTGTTTTATATTTACATTTTGAAGTCACATAAGATAGGTATTATGGACTCACCTTCAGATCAGGCAGGCAATCGCGAATGTGGTGCATCAGGAGTCGGTTGAGGGTCTTGGCCAAATAGGGCGTGCCATTGCGAGTGGCCAGAGTTGGGTACTTGCGCTGCAGGAAGGCCGCCTCGTCCTTCATCTGCTCGTCGATGTGCTTCTGGTCGATGATGTCCTTTTGCGAGCGATTCATCACACCGATGATGCCCAGCTTGACGGGAATGACCCGGCCGCACAGGATGTCGATGGCATCGGTGCCGGCGTCCATGAGATCCAGTTTGGTGACGACGGCCAGGGTGCGCCGGCCATCGGGATCCACGTCCTTGGCCAGCTTGAGTGCCTCGCTGGTGGCCATGTCCGTGTTGGCAGCCGTCACAGCCAAAATGATGGAATTCGGGTTCTCAATGTACTTGACCACCAAGTCTTTTATCTGCGCCTCAATGTCTTCCGGCTGATCGCCCACTGGAACCTTGGTGATGCCGGGCAGGTCCACCAGCGTCAGGTTGACCACATGCGTGGAGAATATCTTCAGGTTGATGGGCTCCGGGCAGATGCCCTTGTTGTTGCCCGCCGCACGCTCCGTTTCGTTCTCGATCTCGTTCCGGATCTCGTCGAAGTCCGTGAAGCACTTCTTGGTGTGCAGAAAGCGTCCCCATTCCTCGGCATTGGAGGTGCCTTAAAAGATGGTCAATTAGAACTGGATTTCACTGAGGTATCGTAGACCTTCTTAGCTCACCATTTTCCGCCGAGCGATTCTCGCGATCATCGAGTGGGCTGTAGATCAGCTGCAGGATCAGAGGGCGACGGGTCACGATCCCAGTTCCACGGGGCAGAAAGGAGCGCCCCACCACGCTCTCGATCACCGAACTCTTGCCGGAACTCTGCAAACAAAGGGGTGTGGCGAAATCGCATCAATTGAAGCTGAAACTGGGACTGATAAACGTCGATGACCTGATAGGGAGAGCTCCCAACGCGTTTGCAACAAGGAAACACTTGGAAACCCGCCGATTAGCTATTGCTATCTGCAACAGTCGGAATTCTATATAAGGTTCGACTTTGAACAGCTACAAATTTTAGAATATTTAAGCAGTAACTTCTCTTCTGAAATTTGTATCAATTATTTTAAAGTTATTTATTTAAGTAAAGAATATACAACTGATGTTAATACTTGTAACCCAAATAAAAATCATAAAATATATTTTTTTACAAGTTAAAAAAATATTGTGAATATTCTTAAAATAATTATATTAATTTTTGTCAAATCCCTTGTTCGTTTATCAATCTTTTGAAGTAAAAGCAAACAAAACCAACATTTTGTAATAGTTTTTAAAAATGAATTATTCAAGAAAGTTTTAAAAATATATTTTTGTGTTTTGTTTTATAAAACTACATTATTTTGTAGATTTATTTTTATTAAACCACATTTTTTCCTGGCATGCTGATAAGATTAATGGAGTTCTCCCTGTGAAATCTTATTTTATTTATCAGTTTAAGTTATAGAGGCTCCCCTGTATTTAATATGAATGACTTGTCTAAACACTGAATCATACGTAATTTATTTCAGAGCGCGAATCAAAGTGCAATTAAAGCCGAGATCGAAACACACAACCAAACAAAACTATTGGAGATATATGTTTGTTTGCAATGTGTTTGTGAAGGAATGTGTCACATCAGCAGCTGTTTTTTTCATTCGTATAATACAGCCAAATATTGATTTTCCATGGGGGCGGCAAACATTGCCAAAAATAATTATATAAACAATAATGCCGAGCTGAGAGCGGGGAAATATCTTAATAAGAGAGATTGTTTAAAAACATAACTAAAATGCCGGCAAGCGCATTCAGTTATATAATTTGGCGGACGCTTGCAAATCGGAAGAGTTGTGCATAAATATATGTATGTATAATTCCGGTTTATTTCGAGTTCTCCTTTTGCGGAAATTGGGGAACAATATTTTTTTTTTTTGGGGTGCGGAGGGGTTTTTGCAGTTCGCTTACCTGACTGCCGAGCACAACAATTTGGGGCAGTTGTATCGAATCGGAGCCCACCGTGTTGAAGACGTCCTGCAATTTGTTTATGACCGGAATTAGGGCCTCCATCGTGATTGAGATGTGTGCCGGGGGTTCTTCAGATCGCGTTCCACTCGGTTGGCGATTAATCCACGCACATTCAGGCCGTTCTTAGTGGGT